ACCCACCTAAGTATGTGGTAAAAAAAAAAAAAAAAAAAAAAATTCAGGATTGTTGGGAGTGAGTTCTACGTTGGCTAATTTAGGGAATGATCATGAGTTTATAAGGAAAAGAATATCTCTATTCGTATGAGGCCTTTTGGGGAAGCCCAAAGCGAAGCCATGAGAGCTTATGCTCAAAGTGGAGCATATCATACCATTGTGGAGATCCGTTATTCCTAACATGGTATAGAAACATGCCCTAAACTTAGCCATGACAATAGAATCCTCAAATATCGAACAAAGAATTGTGAGCCTCGAAAGTGTAGTCAAAAGTGACTAAAGTGTCGAACAAAAAGTGTACTTTGTTTGAGGGCTCCAGAGAATGGAGTCGGGCCTCAATTAAGGGGAGGTTGTTCGAGAGCTCCATAAGCCTCAGGGAAGGCTTATAGTGTACTTTGTTCGAGGGGAGGATTGTTGGGAGTGAGTCCTAATTTAGGGAATGATCATGGGTTTTATAAGTAAAGGAATACATCTCTATTAGTATGAGGCCTTTTGGGGAAGCCCAGAGCAAAGCTATGAGAGCTTATGCTCAAAGAGAACAATATCGTACTATTGTGTAAATCCGTGATTTCTAACACAAACAATTACCATACCCTACTTTTCCATTAACACCACTAAGAACATAAATTTCACTATTTAAGTTTAGCTGTTGAGACATGTGAATGCACAGACCTCATTGCAGGAAGAGATCCCATAATATCACTGGAAGGATACCAGCAAGTCATAATTGATAACAAAGAAGAACCATCAAAACCTACCACGATCAATACAGATTCATCAAGGCTTGCATGCATCGCTTTAGTTGACTGAAGCTATTTTCCTTCCATGCTGCTCTTATTAGTATTTATGCCACTTCCCGACATCTTGCAACAGCTTTTTAAACTTTGAATTTTAGTTTTTGATCCAGCCTGTGTTACAATACAATTCAGCCACAATTTAGTACATCAAGAAGATGGAAATTTAAAAGAGGCGTAAACACATAAGCAGAACTCCAATTTAAAGAGAATACACTTACAAATGTCTATAACAAAAAAGCATCGTCACGTGGAATGATTCATACCAGCTCCTGCTGCAATAAGTTGGTTTCTGAACTTGTTTTTACGTGTAACAACTTCAGTTCTCTAACTTCTGCTAGTATCTTTTTTAGTGAAAAGAAAACCATCATTTATACATCAAGGAAGGAAAAAAATAACATAGACAGGTACATGTACTGGAGACGAAAACAAATAAGTACCAAAAAGGGGTGCCCAAGTACCTCAGCTACAGCTGGCAATCAGAATTCAAACCACGTCCTTAGCTCCTAAACAACTGTTCCCTATTCTTATCCAAAGAGTCTGAATGTCCTCGTGATTATCCTCTAACAAATTCTCTTCGTCGCTTAGTGCATCGCCTTTGATATTTTCTGCTACATCTTCAAGATTTGACCAAGGAACATTTCACCTCCAAAGCAGCTCGCTGACTTGTACTCTTCATCTTCAACTTTGACATCATAATAGGAAGAAGAGTATATTTCATTTCCTTATTTGAACAATGGACATTCTTCAATTTCACTATGTCTTCAAGAACCATTGGAAGGAGCTTCACAAGACTTGCTTTCTTCTTCAGGAGAATGTGATGTACAAGAAAGGTCCTCCCACTCGTAGCCAGAATGATTTGAAGTTGAAAGGTTTAATTCCTATGTTGGTTTCCTTAAATTTTCACCATCCTCTCTCGCATTTGTAGGGGAGACCTTGAACTAGGATCTCCACTTTTTCTTTGAATCTAGACAAGCAACATTTATATTTGAAGAAAACACCTCACTATTGTTGCTGGCTTCTCTTACATTGATAGTTTGCAAAGCTTTCGAGAAACTTCTCACTCATTGCGATGGGAAACAGTCTCCAAGATAGGTGAAGATGAAAACAAAGCAATCAACCTGTTTATCTGTCGTTGGTCCAGTTCAAACCAAAAAAAGCTTTGGCTCATAACAATTGTCAGAAATGATCGGCCTAACTGATCTTTCAACAAGAGGCGGCACTGCATCCGCAGTCTTATTTAACCTCATCAACAAAATAATAAGAGATCCTAAATATTATGAACATCCAACAATCTTATACAAGTCTAAACATCTCCAATACAGTAAGTGTTTTGCATAAAAAACCTGTGCAGAATATGGAGTATAATCCATGCCATCAGCAGTCCAAGCATATGGACTAATATTCTGGTCACCTTGGCTAGTAGCCTCAAATACACCATGAAACTTCCTAACACTGTAGTTGATGAGAAACAGAGGCAAACCAGGATCGATATTTCGTACATATTAGAATTGCGAAGCCGGAAATCCTATTGGAGAAGTTAAAGCATTACATATCCATTTGATATCGCATAAATGAGAGAAAAGAGAACCGTAAATTTCTTGAAAATAAAAGGTTGATCAGCAAAGGTACTGGTAAGCAAACCAAACAATTGTTCGGAAAGACATTCTTGCATTGTGTTGTGCTAGCAACCAAAAATAACTCCAGCCTGTTTACTCTTTCCGAGATTCCTTGAGATCACACTGCCATTTTACGTCCAAGGAGGTAGGGCTTTTTCCTGCAAAGTAAAGGACTCAGTCTTCCTTCCACCGCCATCAGCGATTGAAGAAAATCCACGAAAAAGTAAAAGGCCTTAAAAATCAGTTTCCGATCGATAATAAACATACATGCTGTACGCTAATAATGCTTAACGAATTATCCTCAGCGAATGATCAAATAGAACTTGTCTAAAACAAGAAGAGTTGCAATGCGAGTTATTACAGAGGTTGAGGATGAACATATATGCTTAAAAACATAGCTGAAGAAAAATCTAATTGTAAAAAACTCACCGGAGATGAATAAGAAATCGTCAGACTCAACGGAAATTATCGCCGACGGCAAATCTCTGTTCAAATGCCTCAAGAACGCCACAGAAGTGACAGTGAAGAAAGAAATATGGAAGCCGGGAGAGTTTTTGAAAACCTATAGAGACAATTAATGGAAATGGAGGGAAGGCAGGGCAGTTTAGTAGATGATCGTGAAACTATGATTTTACCCTTATCTCAGCTGTATGTAACCGGTAAGCCCGGTAAGCCCGGTAAGCCCGTACCCAATAAGGGAAATTTGTCACATTTCACTATTCCGAATAGAAATCTCTATGTTAACAACCTTTTAACAAGCGGTCTAACCCGGGTGGGCCCCAACCGAAAGATGCCAGACCGAAGAAAGCCCGCTTGCCCCATGAATAATAATAAAAAACTTAAATTCTCACATCATGGAATTTCCAAAGAAATTGTTGCGGGCCCCATGAAAATCGAAGGAAGGGTCCGAAGGGATGGGTGATCCGAGTATTATCGATAGAAAGGGTCGGTTACAGAGACAAAAGCTCACGATATCGTCCATTAATTAATTTTTAAATATTGTACCCCTCTAAATATTATTGAATTAAAAAATATATATTTCAAATTAATCATTGCATTAAGTTTTATATATATATATATATATATATATATATATATATATATATATATATAATTAATTAATTAATTAAAATCTAGCCATCAATATATTCATAATGATATAATATTGTCCACTTTAAATATAAACTCTCACGCTAACATTGTCCATGCATAATTTTTCATGAATTTGCTTTGTGCTCCTCAATATTTATGATTATTTCCTAAATTAGTAATCTTATTCTCAATCATCTTTAATAGTGACAGTACTTATGATCATTTCATAAATTAGCAGACTTCTTCTTAATCATCGTTAATAGTGACATGACGATAATAATTTAAAAAAATATTCTTCATGTCATACAATTTGAGTTCTGAAAAAAATTGGAGTGTAAATGGAAAAGAATGAGAGAAACAAATTCAATATAATCTATTCTAATTATTTATTTATCCCAACTTTCATTTATTTATTTTGATTATTTCTCTTTTTAATTTTTTTTCTTATAAATTATAATTATTAATATTGACTGCAACATAATATTTATAATATAAATTAAATCAAAATTTAGTTAGTTAGAATTATTTTAATAATTTGATTTATAAAAAATTAACTAACAACCATTATTGTAGCCTTGTGAAATTAATTACAAAAATATAATAATTAACCTCTTTATAATATTTAAACTACCCTACCCACTCTCAATTTTGACTATAGCTAGCTAATAAGACACCAAATTTTCAATAATGACGCAAGCCAACAATAATAGATAATTTAATAAAGAAGGGTGTGGAAATCTTCCTTTAAAATATTTATTTTAAAACGAGAAAATCAAAAGAAAAAACACAAATATAATTTTTTTTTTTAAGAAGAGGACACTGGCTTCTACAGTTATAATGACCAGATAAATCCCAAAATGACAAAATCCGCAGCTTCGCACTCCAACCACGCAATGTTCCGACTATGTATCTACCTGTCATCCACATCCCATACTTTTGGTTCACGTATTTGATTTTGTGATCACTCCTTTCAATTTGTATTTTTATGATTATTTTTTAATATGTGATTGCTAAAAATTTCAAAGGTCAATTCACGAATTCCAAAAAAAAAAAGAAAAAGAAAAAGAAAAAAAATTTGACTGCACCATTTAAAATATTTATTAAAAGTTTAATTTTTGTAATTTCAAGCTCTTTTTAAATTTATTTTAATTTCAATACTAACCTAATTTACATTTTGACATATTTAGTATTAATTTAAAACTAACCTACTTTAATAAATAAAATTAATATATCTAATAGATATTTTTAATTTTGTATAGTCTAATAGATTCAACCGCAACAATTCGAAATGGTAACATTTTCTTTGTAGAATTTTCAACTATTCTTGAATTATAATTATTATTGTAATTTATAAAACTGTTAAGGATATTTAGTAATAAATTATAGTTTACCATATATATTATATTTGATATTTTATTATAAGACAAATATCTAATATTTGTCTTATTATCATAAGTATCTTTCCATTTATTGTTATTTCAATATCTTTGTAATTCATTTGATTATAAATAAGATAACTTTCACACCATTTAGGTGTGGTGGATTAATCAAACATTCACATGGTATTAGAGTCCTCTCGGTTTAACAACCCCGATCCTTTCTTTTCAATGGCTTTTGAATTCTCTAATCTTCTTCTCCACCACCCCTGCTGGATTTGACGCTGCAGGGGCAGTCTTCATGGCTGCCGCAGGCAGAGCCGATTGATTATTCTTCGGCTCCACCCTATTGACCTCCAAATCACATTTCGTCATACTCTATACATACAACCTCACCTTTTCCAACCTAATCGGTTTTCCCCTTGGTCAATATAGTCTCTCTCATTTTCTTCCCAATCAACCTTCGTCCTTCACATAAACCCTAACCTAAACCTATCAACCTTTTGCAGAGATTTACCTTCGGAATCTGGGTGCCGCACTGGCCTATTCGCCAACCAAGTTGCCGCCGCCCTTCCTGCCAAAATTGGCTTCTTCGCCCGATGAGGCGACTCTTCCGACTGCCCTTCTCGCCAAAATTGGCTCTTTCGCCCAATGCGGCGACTCTTCCGGCTTCAACATTGTCTTTGTCCCTTGCTCTAGGTTTTCCCTTCTACTTCTTGGGGTTAGAAATATTCTCACCAGAGCCAAGGCAGCATCGTCGCTAAGCGACAATCCCTCTTCATAGATTAGACATATTCTCGTTGAAGCCAAGGCAGCATCGCCGCTGAGCGGCGTTCCCTCTGCAATTTTTGATGGCCAAGAACCGGGTTGTTAGCATCTTCATGAAAAGTGTTTCTAACCTCTTTGAATTTTTCAGATTCAAGCTTCACGTTTGTTTAAATCCGACGCTTAGTTTGCAGTGGGGTGTTCAAGATATTTAGTAATAAATTATAGTTTACCATATATTATATTTGATATTTTACTATAAGGTAAATATCTTTCCAATTATTGTTATTTTCATTTATTACTATTTCTATATACTTGTAATTTATTTGATTATAAATAAGATGATTCTCTTCTCAAATTAATCAAACAGATAAAACAAATGTGTGCTGAAAATATTGCAATATAATTTCGAGGCTGAAATTCAATTCGTCGGTTCCATCGGTTTTCTTTTGTGACGACGTGGAAGTGACAGGGCTGCCACACCCTTATCGCGAAATGAAGCTCCATAGCCATGGCGGCCTCAGTGGTGGACCTGTACATGCGAGCTCTACCGTCCATCGGTCACGGGATGCTGCTCCGGCGGATTCTCTCCGGCGGAATTCGATTGCGGAGTGTCGATTTGTTGGGGGAATTTCAACAAGGAGAAACAGCTTTGCAATTTCAATTAGGCAAAATAGCCACTCAAGTTTTTATGTTCATTGCCTCCGGTTTTCACATGAAGATTCGGAGTGTTCCGATGAGGTAGGGCAAAAATCAGCCGTGCAAATACTCAGTACGAGACGAGCCATGCTTGGCGTTCCATTAATTGCAATCGGCGCACAGTTTCTACAATCAGCGGTGGTCAGAGCGGAAGAGAAGGCGCCAGAGACAGCGATTCCGGTGCTAGACGCGGTGAAATCGCCTCCGCCTCTAGCTTCGACACCCGAGGAGGAATCAATTACTTCGAGGATTTACGATGCGACTGTCATTGGAGAGCCTTTAGCTGTGGGGAAGGACAAGAGTAAATTATGGGAGAAGATAATGAATGCTCGGGTCGTCTACTTAGGGGAAGCCGAACAAGTTCCGATTCGAGACGATAAAGAATTGGAGCTTGAAATTGTGAAAAACTTGAAAAGAAGGTGTGATGAAAGCGAAAGGGTATTATCTCTGGCTCTAGAAGCGTTTCCTTCCAATTTGCAGGAGCAGCTCAACCAGTACATTGACAAGAAGATCGATGGGGAAACTCTGAAGTCCTACACCTTACATTGGCCACCACAGCGCTGGCAGGAGTACGAACCTCTTCTAAGTTGCTGTCGTGAAAACGGAGTTCGTCTTATTGCTTGCGGTTTACCTCTCAGGGTAATTCATCTTATTCTAACTGGATGCATTGTATCACTTTTCGTAAGCTTAGATAACACGACTCGATTCAAATAGAAACAAGCTAGTCTATCGATTATCCAATTAAACTCGAAGTAGATAATGTTCATGTGGGCTTCAATTGTCAGTTCTCTTATTAGTCTTGTTCAAGCTTCTTGCAAGTTTTTGATGTATGATCTTGACAATATCAATAGGTTTTGAGAACTGTACAAGCAGAGGGTATTAGGGGGCTTTCAAAAGCCGATCGCAAAGTATTTGCTCCACCAGCTGGTTCAGGTTTCATCTCTGGATTCACAGCTATATCACGTAGAGCTTCAGTTGACCTGAATTCTTACCCGTCCAGTCCTTTTGGTCCAAGTTCATATTTATCTGCCCAAGCAAGAGTAGTTGAAGAATATGCTATGTCACAAATTATTCTACAAGCCATGGCAGATGGTGGAGGAACTGGTATGCTGGTGGTTGTGACAGGTGCGAGCCATGTTGCTTATGGAGCTAGAGGCACTGGCCTGCCTGCAAGAATCTCGAGAAAGGTACCGAAGAAAAACCAAATAGTTGTTTTACTTGATCCCGAAAGACAACAAATGCGGAGAGAGGGTGAAGTTCCTGTTGCAGATTTCTTGTGGTATTCTGCTGCCAGACCCTGCAGCAGAAACTGTTTTGATCGTGCTGAAATTGCTAGAGTTATGAATGCAGCTGGAAGAAAGCGAGATGGTCTTCCCCAGGTTAGCTTTTCTTTGTGGGTCTGATGTACTTGTTTCAAGGTTCTCCCATATTATTATCCATTGCAAATGCTATATAAGCACCATACTATACATTAAGTTGATTTTCTTTTGAATGATTTGTTAGGAACACGAATTGAAATTATCCACTTGAAGCATAATCTTTCATGACTTTGCTTTTGGTTTCCCCAAAAGATCTCGTACCAATGGAGATAGTATTCATTACTTATAAACCCATGATCAACCCCTTAATTAGGCCGATGTGGGATTCTTCTTCCAACAATTCTCAACAATCCTCCCCTCGAACAAAGTACACCATAGAACCTTCCTTGAGGCCTATTGAGCCCTTGAATAGCTTCCCCTTAATTAAGGCTCGATTCCTTCTCTGGAGCTTTCGAACAAAGTACACCCTTTGTTTGACACTTGAGTCACTTTTGACTACATCTTCGAGGCTCATAATTTCTTTATTTTACATTTGAGGACTCTATTGACATGACTAAGTTAAGGGCATGACTCTAATATTATGTTAGAACCACGAATCTCATAATGGTTGTCCACTTTGAGCATAAGTCCTTGTGGCTTTGCTTTTGGTTTCCCCAAAAGGCCTCATACCAATGGAGATAGTATTCCTACTTATAAACCCACGATGAACCCCTTAATTAGCCGACGTGGGACTCTTCTCCCAACAATCCTCAACATGACTGTGGTACTCCAGCTAGTTTGTATTACCTCTAACCAACTGGACCGAATCATTTCATGATTTTTTTTTAATGAAATCATTTCATGATCCGAAATTTGTACAATAGTTCATATTCTATGTTGGTTGCCACTATAATTTGGGTTATGTTCTTCCCCATTTGACATTCGTCGTTACATTTTATGATTTAATCTGAACTTTGCTTTGTGACTGGTTGCTCTTTTTTCTTTCTTCTCTTTTTTCATAACAACAATTTCATTGATAAGAATGAATACAGAAACTCCAAGCTCAAAAGGTGTTTTTCTAAATAATTGGCTGTAAAGATTGGAGTTTTTCTAAATAGCTTCAAAATTAGAAGTTAGTTATTGGTCGACATATATGCTATATTCTACTCAATAGATATCATGGCATACTTTCAGGATATCCAAAAAGGGCTGGATCTGGGTTTAGTATCACCAGAAGTATTACAGAACTTCTTTGATCTGGAGCAATATCCTCTAATTTCAGAGCTTACGCATCGTTTCCAGGTTTAGTATTTGCTTTCTAAAATTGAATTCTCTTTTTATGGTTCAATACAAATTTCAAACTACCATCTGGTAAATTAGAAATGTTGCTAAAATTTTACATTGATTCATACTATACCTCATTTTGGCACAGGGTTTTAGGGAAAGATTGTTGGCAGATCCTAAATTCTTGCATAGATTAGCAATAGAAGAAGCCATTTCGCTAACAACTACTCTTATAGCACAATATGAGAAGCGAAAAGAGAACTTTTTCCTGGAACTTGATTACGTTATTACAGATACCTTAAGAGGTGTAGTTGTTGATTTTTTTACTGTCTGGCTCCCTGCACCGACCCTCGCATTCCTTTCTACCGATGACCTCGATGCTTCTGGAAGCACTGATATTTTACAAGGTCTACTTGGATCTATCCCAGATAATGCCTTTCAAAAGAACCTTGCTGGAAAGAATTGGGACCTGAGTCACAGGATCGCATCTGTAGTTTTTGGTGGCTTAAAGCTTGCTAGTGTTGGATTTATTTCCAGTATTGGGGCCGTGGCTTCCTCAAACGCTTTGTTTTCTGTTCGTCGATTCCTCAATCCAGCATTGGCGACTAAGCAACGAAATAAGAGATCTCCAATACTTAAAACAGCTGCAGTTTATGGGTGCTTTCTGGGAATATCAGCAAATCTACGATATCAGGTAGCCAGAGGACGTGCTTATGCTTCAAATATTTTGATGATGATAAACTGTTCTTTGAATTACTCATTTCATTCTTATTTTCTAGTTTCTTTTTCATGTGTGATTAGGGAATGGGGAATCCATTAAAAAACCTTTTACTACGAATCTTAAGGCAAATCTAAGTGCCCTTTTCTCCATATACCTACAGAACTTGTGTATGCAGTGATGAATTTGAATGTGGAAAATTAGAAATGTAGTGTGTGAATAAGTTGTTGAGAATTGTATTTGACCATTGCATTTATTTTGTTTTCAGTTTCAGTTCTTTATTATAGTCTTGTTTCTTAATCTTATCCATTTCAAGCATCTGATGAACAATCTTGTAATGTAGATTATTGCTGGAATAGTGGAGCATCGATTTTCTGAAGCATTTTCTTCTCAAATTGTGCTTGTAAATATGGTCTCATTTGTTGCTCGAACATTAAACTCTTATTGGGGTACCCAGGTGCGTATTGCTTCCATTTTTTAGCCATCTTCTGCCTTTCCACATCAAATATTTATGTCTTAGATCAGTTCAAAACCATCAATTTGACCATTTTGCCTTCTCATAAAACTTCGGTAACGGGTTATTTTTATCGACCTTAGCTCGATACTTAACTTTCTTTTGAAATATGCAGCAATGGATCGATCTCGCACGGTTTACTGGATTACAAACTCGAGAATTGCCCTCTAACCAAGTCCAAGAATCTCCGAATCCTGCAGCGTTGGGATGTAATGTCACCGAAGAGGCAACTCAAGCAAGCACCGATGAACTCAAGAACAATTAAGGTGATACTCTAACATTCATCACGCATCCAAAATAACTTGTAAAATTCAATTCGGATGCCACATAAGATATCGATTTGATCCTCTGGGCCTATTTTTCTCATTCGCCATTGTGTTGTAAGCTACATAATGTCGTTCATTTAATGCAATTTTGATGGAAGTTGGAAGAGTATAAATAAAAAGGAATTATATTATTCGTTTATATCAAAATCAACTGATGTAACGTGACAGGCATTTTACAGTAATATTGATGTGATTAATGAAGAACATTTAGTACAGATACTATTTTCATTTTTTAAAAAGTAATACTATGCAGTACGCAAATACTCATCTGTCATCATTTCCACTTTTTATTAGCATTTTTGACATGTCATTTTCTGATTGGTCCACGCGATTCTTAAATAGTTCTTATGTGGCAGATAATATTAAATTTTCATTCAGTAAGTAGTATTAATAGTTAGACGATAGAAATTAATTTTATAATATAACCGTAAAAATAAAAAATTAAAAAAGCGAAAAGACAAAAGGGTACACAGTTTTGGATAAGAATGATGACGTGCAGCAATGTAGGGGCGAAAACCGTGTGGCGGTATATCATGTTTTGTCGGGTAGTCAAGAAATCAACCTGTTTTTGGACCGGCGGAGAAGACTTACTTTCCAAAACCTTGGGCCGGATTCCTTTACAGTGTCATTTCCGTAATATAACCAAACCCTGAGTGCTAATTCATTTTTTCAGTTTTATATATCTCTTCATCAGCTCTGGATAAAACTTCATCTGCAACTCGAATCGTTTTCGCAAGCAGTAGCTATGGATGTGGTTGCTCGAAGAACCTCCTCGTCTTCCGTTTCGATGTTGAACCCCAATGCTCCGTTGTTCGTTCCCATGGCGTACAGGACCGTGGAGGATTTCTCTGACCAGTGGTGGAATTTGATCCAGTCCTCCCCGTGGTTTCGCGAGTACTGGCTTCAAGAACGCTTTCAAGATCCTCAAAATGATTTTTCATTTGCAGAGAATGAAGAAATTGTTCTTCCGGATCTAGAAAATATTTTCGACGACTTAGCTCGTCAACGTAAGTGTTGAAATCTAGCCACTGATTGAGTCGATTCGTTCCCTCTCTTCGCAAAACTAACGAACTCGTTGTTTCTTTTGTTTTCTTCTTCAGAGGAAGAGGAAGAATTTGAATTCTCCAAGGATTTGGTTCCAATGGGGGCTTTCAAATGGCATAAGGCTCAGACTGGAGCCGAGGTTCCCAGGTATGCTCAAAAGGCTCCCAAGATCGTGAACGTGAAAGTGAGTCCGAGGACGATTCACCAGCCGAGATAGATTCGTCGCGGAATTTCCAACTGATCGGAGTATGTTTCTTCAACAGAACTCTGGAACCAGTTTAAATTGTTGTTGATCTAGGTTTTCCATTTCGTTCATGTATAGAGTCTAGAACTTCATCGGTTAAGCATCAACTCTGATGATCTGTGTTTAGCTACTGTAAATTTGTACCAAGTCTTACTTTTCAATTATGATATAATAGAATAGTTCCAAAATTCTCAACCAAGTAGCTCGATCATCAACAAAATCCAAGCTAACAACATCGGAATTCAAAGGTTTTAGGTTCACCTTTGTTCTTGATTTTTAGATATTAGAAGAGGAGCATCTGCAAATATCTCAGTTTAGTAGCGCTAGCTGGTCTTTTTGGGATGGCCATTTCTGAATTCTGCCCCCACACGAGGCACATTCGGTATCCATGCCCACTTTTGTCGTTAACATGGCCGACTGCCCTGTAATACCTTTTTTTTATTCGTTATTTTGCAGCACTTGAAATGTCCATTACTAATAATCGTTGAAAAAGACAGACACTAAGCCTTGAGCTTATTGAAAATGATATCTATCGAATAAAATATCATGATATAACATAAGCTCGTCGGATTATTTATGTTGGAAAAAGATCGGATGTACCTGGGCTGGATCAGTCATGGGAGAGAGCAACCAAACAAACAATGTGGGCCAATGTAGGCCCATAAGATTATAATATTGGGCTAGGCCCATTAAATCCTAATTCGGCAGAATATTAAAAATAAATAAAGCAAGCAAGTTGGATTTGATTAAGATATTAAATAAATAAATAAAAACAATTTTTTTTTCTTTTAATCAAAAGATAACATCCATTTTTCGTGTAATGTTCAATCACTACTTTTCAAAGAAGACTTTTAATGCTTTTATAAAAATATCTCACGAAAGTGCTTTGGTTACTTATCTCCATTTTGCTGAGAGGAGCTAAGCCTGAGAATATGTGCTTTACATTATCAAATATACTTGTCTCTCTCCACATCACATTTATTATTATTTTTATATCTATTTGATTGATGCTCTAAAGTTGTATTTAATTTCCAAGTGGGCCCACCATTGATTTTGAATAAATGTTTTATTCAGCCAATTAAGGTATACTTTTTTGTTGCTGAAATATTGTTTATTTGATGCTTTTATCAAAATGACCTCAATCTTATACTTTTTTGCACCAATAATTATTTTTTAAAAATTTCCCTTTTGGAGTATCTTTTTGTAACTATATTAATTATATAATTACGTAGAGATTAAGATAAGAAACAAAATCATGTTATTTAATTTGAATTATTTTCACTTTTCATCTTTTAATAATTAAATGTCTGTACGTTTGATTAACACGCAAAAAGCTGTAGATCCTTGTATGAATTCCATTACTGTCTCCAACTCACATTAATATTATATTTTGCTGTAATTATATAATATATAGTTTAATTATGGGCTTTTCTTTCTTTAAAAAGCTAATATTATATGGTCAGTTCAACATTATTTTTGGCTTCTAATTATTTCATAAAATAAGTGGCCGTTAAACGTTTTTTTTTTCTTTTAAGGTGGTGTATGAATCAGCAGCAGCTTTTTTTATTTTATTCTATAATGCTTTTAGACCTTCCACGTGAAACGCATAACCCCTTTTACTGGGTTACTGGGTTATAAATTTCATTATAATTGTATTTTTCTCTTTTAATATAATAAATATGAAAATATGAATATAAATTTAATATTTACCAATAATGTATTTTATTTGTTATAGATTTTTAATACAACTTAAAACTAATTTTATTATTTTATATATAATTTTGAATAAACATATAGAATGTGAAAAAGATGTCCAAACTAAATCAATGAATTGATTTGATTTTCATTTTTGAAAAAGAGATCTTTTTTATTAAAAAAAAAAAGGGAGAAAAAGAAGAACATGAAACCCACGAACACCCATAGATCAGAGATTCAGACATTCATACCGGGCCCTACACAAATGGCAGACCTGATGAATCTTGACCGTCCGATTTCTCTCATCAAACGTCCTACAGACATTTAATCTCCAGGTTCCACCAGTGGCTAAGGAAAAGTCGCGAGAATTTCCTGGATCTCAAATCACATCGGGCCGTACACGTGGCAACAAACTATAATCTCGGCCTCCAGTAAGATGTTTTTCGAACTTATCCGAATATTCGTCATTTTCCCCATTTTTATTTTCTTCACGTTTCGTTTTTCGCCCCAAACATTTGGATATATTCGCGATTTATCTCTGAAAATAAGTTAATACTGATTAGGCCCATAAGAAGAGTTTTACGTCATCTTTCACACTGCGAAAGGAAAGCAGGAAGGGGAGGAAAAGGAAAATAAAAAAAGAATGAGGAGCTTTAAGGCAAATATTGGAACATGTCCTTATTATAAAGATTATAAATACGTCGGGAACTGACCAATGGGAAGTCATCTCCATGGTAATTACCCAACTCCACCACACACAATATCAAAACTCACGAAACAACACAACCAAACAGAAACGCAAAACGACGAACCAAATCAACAAACACACACCAAGTTTCTTACATTTTTTTTTTTTTTTTTTTTTTTTTTTTTTTTTTTTTTTTTTTTTTTTTTTTTTTTTTTTTTTTTTTTTTTTTTTTTTTTTTTTTTTTTTTTTTTTTTTTTTTTTTTTTTTTTTTTTTTTTTTTTTTTTTTTTTTTTTTTTTTTTTTTTTTTTTTTTTTTTTTTTTTTTTTTTTTTTTTTTTTTTTTTTTTTTTTTTTTTTTTTTTACAGATTTATTTAGTTTTAAGAGAAAACGGCCGCACCGGATCAGAGAAACCGATTAAATGGCCAAGACGAGCCCAGGCACCGATTTCCCGACCTGATTGGAGAGGGTGCTTTCCCAAACAGAAGGGCAATGGTGCAGCGACGAGGCAGAGGAAATCTCCGACGCGACGGAGGACGACGGAGAGTCAGTTGGGTTACCGAGGCGAGTAACAGTAAGGGAGGTATTGAAATACTCGCGAACCTGAGTGATTATCCCATCAGTGATGGTCCAGGCGTGGATCCAGGAGATTGAACGGGTAGGATCGCAGCCTTCAACGAGGACGGTGGGACCAAAGGAAGTGATTGATTGAGGAACGAACTGAAAAGATTGGCCGTTGGATGAGGCTCCAGTGAGAAGGCGCATCAGAAATTGGTGGGAGGGAGGACCATGGAACCACCACTCGAGATCGGGGGCGAGGATTTGGTGAACAGTGTTCACGTTTCGAGATGTTAAGGCCTCATATAGGGCGAGAACCACCCTCTGATTACTACAATCACTATTTTCCTCCAGAATTCCCTGAGAGTTAGCCAGTTCTTGCAGAAGTTTGCCTTAGCCTAAGCCTCGGACTCCAAATTTTTCAAAAGTGTTTTCTTGTAATGAACAAGAAACGGAGGAATTTTTGAAGACGAAGAACCAGAGGAAACCTGTAGAGGCCCTTACCACGAGGCAGGGGGCTTTATAGGAACGAGCGTATCCGGACAAGCAATTGTCTACGTCCTCATCCGTTTTTGAGGGATTCACACGTGGCCAATCAAAATGCACGACGAATATCATTTTGGGCTTTTCCGTAATTTCAATCCATTTTCGGATGCGACGTGGCGACTTTCAATTGGTATTATGGATTTGTTTCATGGACCCGGATGCACGGAATTTGAGAGTCCAAAAGGCCAGGAAATTGGTCAAGCAAACTCCAGTTGACCAAAAACGAAACAAAATGGCTGGCCATACTTCACACTAACTAGCTTCATTTTTTTTTTAATGTCTTAATTTTTGTTTTCCACAAATAAATTAGTTTTTTTTTTAAATAATCCGTTTGTTATGAAGGAAATAAATATTAAGATTTTGGGGAGTTATTTTGTCATATGCTTTGAATATATATGGGTTATAAAAAGGGAAATAGAATAAAAGTACATTGGTACATTGGTGTGTTGGAATTGAATCATGGGAATACGCATAGATACTATAATGTCATGTGTAATGGATTGGAAGGGAATGAATAGGAGATTCCCTAGTTGCTATGAGCATATTATACCTTCCAAAATCAACTTGAATACCCACATGCATGCCACTTCGGTTGGAACAAAAACTATAAACCTTTACAAATCCAACGTGATATATCTCCGATCCAAACTTATTTTTAAGAAAGATTAGTAACCGGCAGGAAAAATGCTAAGAGAGAAACGAAACATTTTTTATAAAAGTGTGGAAACTTCTCTCTAATTGATGTGTTTTAAAACTGTGAGGCTGACAACGATATACAATAGATAGGTTGTTACAAATGATATTATAGCCCGACACTAGGTAATGTGCCAGCAAGGACACTGGACCTCTAAATGGGTGGATTGTGAGATCTCACATTGGTTGAAGAGAGGAACGAAGTATTCCTTATAAGAATGTGGAAACCTCTCCCTAATAAACACATTTTAAAATCGTGAGGTTGATGACGACATGTAACATACCAAAAGATACAATATAATCTACTTGAGCCTATGTTAGTTATATTAGTTCAATTATTCAACCAAACACTTAAATCTACTTGAAAAAACACAATACTTTTGTATATAATGTGTTCCTATGTTAGCTTTATTAGTTCAATTATTCCACCAAACACTTAAATCTACTTAAAAAAACAACTTTGTCATGTCGGCTAATAGGAATTAATTGATGACGTTAATTATAGAGATTGTTAAACATAAAATTAGAAGATATATATGTATATCATTTTTAGAATTTAGAAATTTATTAGTTTAATAACGGTTTGAAGCTAATAGAATAAATAACACAATTGTTTAAAAAGATAATAACAACTTCGATTATTTTTAAATTGTAGTCGGAGTTTGTGAGAATATGTACTAAAAGAATATTATTTTTGAAAAATATAAACAAAGTTATCATCGGGTTAACTTTTATATCCCCATCATTGATCTCGAAAATCTCTCTTTCTCTCTCTCTGCGTCCAACGCTTTCTTTGTATGGTTGTTTCGACTTTAATGTTAAATGAATTGACGAATCTCTTATATTTTCTTTCTTTTTTGGGACCAAGTGGAAAAAGAAAGAAAAAAAAACTCAGAAATATATATATATATATATATAATTAAATGTCATCACATTGTAATACTCAATTTTCAACATATTAATGAATAAGGCTGAAATGGAGATTCTTGACAATTCAGGGGTAAAATTGTAATTTTGAATAATGAAAGAAAAAAAATCTTATACTTTAGGGACAAATAAAATGGAATGGAAATTAAATAAATAAGCAACATATTAAACTCCCTTTTAGAAAAAAAAAAAAAAATTTGTAAGGCTATTTAATTTTTTGAGTCTTTGCTGATTGGATCTGCATTATTTTGTACAAAAGTAAAAGGATTAATTACGTGATAAAATAATGAAGAATCGATGGACCATTTCATAATTAAATAAAGCCAAATGAATTTTGTGTGAATATGAAACTATATAAAATAAAATAAAAAGACAAAAAAATTGTGTGAATATGGAGGATTTGCTTGTTTGGTCTCCATCGGCGATATGGCGACATGCGGGATTGCTTACAGCCCACGTTGATCTGTCCCTGATTGGGCATCAACGGCGATTCTGGGCCACATGATCTTGATCGCACGGTTAAAAATAAACCCAAAGATCACCAAATGGTCCACTTCCAAACGAAAGGGCTAGCTAAGGGCTGGTCCTGAAAAGGAGACGGAAATAGAGCCGAAGCCGGCCAGTAAGAAACAGTACAAGTTTGAAGGAACCAAATTAAAGCGTAGACCAAAACCTGTCCTGTTTTAATGGCCTTAAAAAAGGAGCAGTGGAAGTTTGAAGGGGAAATGGTGGAAAATGAAGACAATACAAATAATTGGGAAATGGAACCAAACATTGTGGGATGCGCATCTCCGACACTGTGGAGACCGTATCTTTAATAATTCATAGTTCTTAATAGGATGAAGAAGAAGACCGGCAGGATTTGTGGTATGACCTGACAATGACTCGAACACGTGTATGAACCAAATTTGAAAGAACATCGCTCAAACGCGTCGATTTTTTCAACTTCAACAAAAGTTGTTATGAAAATTTTATGAAAGGTTTCCAGTAATATTGTAACTTCAAAACTATGAGATAGTAGTACGTTTGTTAGAGATATGAGAACGAAACACATGTATGAACCAAATTCTCTAGTAGACACGTTTTAAAACTATGAAGCTGACGGTGATCATAATGGGCCAAAACGAACAATATCTGCTAACGTGGGCTTGGACTATTACAAATGGTATTCAAGTCAGATACCGAGCGGTGTACTAGTGTTGGACTCCTAAGAGGCATGGATTGTGAGATCCGACCTTAGTTAGAGATGAGAACGAAACATTACTTATAAGGGTGTAGAAACCTTTTTTTAGTAGACATATTTTCAAATCATAAAGCTGACAATGATACGTAACGGGCTAAAGATGTTAAAAACTAGTCTTTTATGGGTTGGAAAAGGGCAATAATGAGTTAGAATGAGGAGGATTCAGCAAATGGGTGAAGTTACGGCATTAATAATGGCCACAGCACTGAATCCACCTCAATTGCAGACATTTCATGGGACAGCACGACCAATAATGGCGATGAAAATGACCCATCACCAACATTAGATATACTAATCTGTCAATGGAATACTGTAAACACCAACACAGATCTTCAATACACACAGCAGTAACAGTGTTTATGACATGCTTTTTGAGAGAAAAGGGGCACTGATGATACAAACTATTTACTGCACTAAGAGTGTAGCAGAGCAGCAGATATTGTGTGATAGTGATCGTCGCAGTGAACGAACATGAACAGTTCATAACAAAGATATTGTGTGATGGTTCTTTCTGATCTTTAAATTCAGTTTGAAGTTGATTCATTCATACAAAATCATCATAAATACACAAAAATAGTACAAAGAACTTTACACATACCAAATGAGTTAAGTTGTTTCTCTCTGAATCAAAGAAGGAGAAGGTGGCATCATAGTTTTACCTGCACCTTCCGCAAGAGGAGAACCTCCTGTGATAATCTTAGATGGGTTCGAGATGCTTGCCACCGGAGAACCCGAACCGGGTTTGCTATCTTCACCGAGCACCTGACTACTCTCGTCGCGTTTTCTGTAAAACATCTCGTGTACTATATCATAAGAATTCCCAGTCCGCGCCTCCTGTGCTAGAGTACACCAACAACAGAAAAGCCATAAAGTGAAGTCAGCCACAGCAGACTTGCCAAAACAAAAGCTATATGCAGGCAAATTGTATCTCTTTCTCATCTGAATCCGCCAAAAACCGCCATAAAGTAAACCAAATACACAAAGAACAATCCCAGTAACGGCCATAACTGTCCTGACAGTTTCGTTATCAATATTTACGGCAGCTAGGAGAAAAATCCAGAAAGGAGCCATACAGAACAGAATGAATGTTGCAATATGGACATACATATTGCCAAATCCCAGTCTCTCCATATTCCATCCAAACACGCAAAAGCTACAGAAAAGGGAGAGGTATGCTAGAGATATGTCATCCCAAAAGTCAAGTATCCCACCACTCCACTCGGAACTGTTTTCGATAATTCTGTTCTCGTGCTCGTCTCTTGTAGCAAATGAATATATTTTCGCGAGTGATTTCGACTGAAGCTGCGATTCCTCGTCGATTTCAGAGTCGTAATCCTTCCCCAAGGGGCTAATTATGGAATAGACGCCTGCAATGGCTGGTGCAGCGATTGCAACGGATATGCATATTCCTACTCCTATGGCTGGACGTCCAGCCCTCCTGTAACCAAGATTCAGACCACAAAGTGCATACTGAGCAAAACAGTTCACATTTAGGAGAATTATAACCACCAACATGTGCGCCCATTCATGAGGCTTGTAAGTCCCATCCTTGCAGTAAAGCTTTCTAAGTTTGGTAACATCTTCAGCTTTCCATCTAGATAAAAGTATGAGATGGTATATCCGTTTTGGATGTTGGTATAGACACATAAGGGTAAACAATGCATTAAGAATTTGATTGTTGACTTCGAACCAAACATCTCGTTCAGACTTTTTCGGCAATGCAGCGTTTAGCATCCCGGTCATGACCAAGAACAGAATTGCACCTGAAACAGCAACACCAATGATCCAAATGAAAAGAGCTATGTTCATTGGATCTCTAATCCATGTTTTGCTCATGTTAATGAGTGAATCCCAATCAATCTTCTTAGAAAATACTCCACTTATGCGTTCTCGAAAATGATGACCACTCGATGAAGAATGCACGGATCGTGAAACGTCATCTTTCTCCTTAGCAATCTGCTGGAACCTAGCAGATGCTGAACCAAATTTGAAGAATCTTTTCCTCATAGGAGCCACAACATCAATAGAAATAGGGGATCTTCTTTGTGTGAGTTCATCATTCAATAGGGTTTTTTGAGATGTAACGAAGTGGA